TGATTTACGTAGAAATATAAGAAACGCTTACATATCTATAAATAAACTATAAAAAAAACTTTTCATAAACAAGACTATCTTATCTTATATAAAATAGATAGTGACACTATGAGGTATTTTCTGTTCAAATTACCTTGTACAATGACATTTAGAACTAAAAGAACATGAAACCCATTTTTCGGATTGGAAGTGGTTTCCAAAATGAGACTCAAGTGTTTTGTTGTTTCATAGGTTGCCAGTGTCGGTGCCAGTGTTGGATCTCAACTGATATTGCAACTGTTAGTGTTATTATTATGTCATTGCTGATTCTAAATCTGATCTAGATACTTACGTATTGATAGAGATTGATTGTTTGTCAAGAATTCTATTGAACAATACTAGCATTCGTTGTAATCAGTGTATATATATATATATATTTGTGTGTGTGTGTGTGGTTTTGTATATATATATATGTGTGTATTTATATATATATATATATATATATATATATGTATATATATATATATATATATATGTATATATATATATATATGTATATATATATATAAATAAAATATATATATATGTGTGTGTGTGTTTGTGTATATAAATATATATATATATATATATGTGTGTGTGGTGTGTCTATATATGTATATATATATAAGTATATATTAATGTGTGTGTAATAATAATAATATAATTCAAATAACATTAGAATGTATTACCTAGCAAAATTATGTACAATAAATATATATGTGTGTATATTGCATATTTCTTACATTCTGTTTATTACAACAACTGTATTGATTTGTTGTTAAAGTGCATTCTTGATCTCTTTATATGAGTGATAAGTAAGAAATTGTTTAATTGAAAACTAGAACCTACATATTAAAATCTGAAGCATTATATTGTCATATATTCATAGTTTGTAATTTTTCAAATTATTGTTTTATTGTACAAAGCCTCATCAGACAGTTATTTGATTATGCGCGACTGTGTGTGCATGTCTAACAGGCTGAGTGTGATGACATTCTAAAATTATATATGTGTCAGCCCAATTTTTCTGTAAAAGAAATTACAAAAGTCATTTCTCTATAGAAGAAGTTACGTAGGCTATATAAAATTCAACCACAGACCTATATGTACTACAATAAATATAGGTTTTTGATTTCTAGTTACGATTTATTTAGGTAGGTGCATTTCTTGTGCATCGCTATTAGCTAACACCGAATATCATCTCTCCATTACTATATTTAGATCTATAATCTAATTTTAGTCTAGATCAATATTTAAAAAATCGAATAGATCTAGTAATAGTATAGATTCCTTCTTGAGACTAGAGTGCCGAGTCTATCATATGCTATTCCTATAGTCAAATTTTTATTAGAATAAAGTCTAGATATTACTGAAGACTAAAGTTTATTAATTATTAGATTATTAGATATAGACATAGGACATAGATCTAATAATATCTTATCTTATATAATATAGACGTTACTTCAAAAAAGAAGATGATTACGTCCTACGCGTCATGCATTTAGTCATGCATATTAACCAATGACTTAAATTCTGCCAAGTCACTGGTTTTCCTGGCTAGCTCAGGCAGCCCATTCATTATACTATATTCATTATAATACCTCTACTTATTTAATAAGTTAGTATTTAGACTTAGATCTAAGTCTAAATCTAAGTCTAGATATAAATCCATTATGGATTATTAATAGATTTACTTTTCAATGCCTAGACCTAATAATAAAATTGCTAATGATGTCTAATGGCTGATTATTTTTTATTTTTAAATAGTAATAGGCCTAAAAGATCTAGGTCTAGACTCTACTTAAATCTTGTCTAAAATAATGACTGTCTAAGACTCTAGATGATTGAGACTTTCTCAAATAGGTGGTGTTAATAATACGGCATGTCGGCTGAAAGTAAGCTGTATACTAAGTATCTTCTATATAAATAATTCTCTTCTTCCCTCAAGATTTTTGTCGAGTAGCAAGAAGTAAAGGAAAGATCACTTTGCGGATAGTCCACGAGAAAACATGAGGGGGGGGGGGGGGATCACGTCACAAAATAGCAAGGACCGTTGCAATATCACTTTTTTTAAATTTCTACCTCACGAAAAAAAAAAAGCGGGGGGGGGGGGGGAAGTAATGTACTCTGTAGTAACTATCAAGGCGACAGAACACGCTCAAGACTTTGGACACAATGGAAAGATCACTCTTTTATTTTTGCAACTCGGACGGAGGCAGTTAGCCTAGGTAATTTAAGAGGCGAAAATAAATGACAATTTTCGTCTATATATTGCAGAAGATTTGTATGAGTTTTTAAAAGATTTTAATAATTTCCGGATATTTCCAGGACTTTTTCGTATATTTTGCAATTACAGATGATTTCCATGACTTTCTATTAAATCGACAGGAGGCCGTTGCAAATTTGTTAGAAGTTACACCTGAAATTAGCGCGGGTCCTATAAAAGTGCGGGGCCCACTACGGTCGCATAGGTTGCAGTGGCCTAAGGTTGGCCCTGCAAAATAGCGGCGTATGCTACGCAGCCGGTCGACTAGTACATATATAAAGTGCTTTTTTTTTTTTGTAAAAAAAAAAAAAAGGTGCCGGTACTCAGTGACAGATTGTCTAACTTTCAACTACTAATAAATAAACAATTAACTTTGAAATACAAGAAAAGTAATAATTTTTCCTGACATTGAAAAAAGGTGCCGGTACCCCGTACCGGTGCGTACCGTCACAAAAATATATCTCAATCTTCTTTCATTAATTTTTTTTTGTGCGGTGTTCTTGTTACTTAATACATTGATACCGGGCCGATTTAAATAGGGCCTAAGTATACAGGCAGGGTCTCGAGCATTGGATAAATTTATTTTTTAAATACAAATTTTTATGGAAGAGGCAATATATTAGTTGTCTGAAGTTTGTAACTTCTTAAATTCAGGCTAAAAATATCGAAGCCTACATTTTTACACTAATTTCTACACAATTAGAAGAGATGGACTGACTCATAGCGTACCTTGTGTACATTTGCAAAAACACAAACTCTCTTTGTAATATTATCAGTGAGACTTTCAAAACTATTAAAAATATATCTATTTATTATTCCTTTTTAGAATAAGGAAATAAACAAAAATTTGCCATATGACTTTGTCTAACAGAAAAAAATGAAACTTACGTCTATTTATACAGTTATTTTTAGTTACCTAGTAATATAAAATATATTGAACTAACACGTACATTTATCATAATGCAGCCATGTGATTTTTCGTTTATGAACATAGAATTATTTAGGACCAATATTTTACAAAGGCTTCTTGGAGAAATCAAGTATACCTATAAGGATAAAACACGACCCCTTTACTCAAGAAAAATTTAAGAAACTAGAACAGACACACAATAGACAGTGACATTCATAACAAACTAATATTCAAAATTGATTAGAGTAACACCTTTTTAACTAATCATTTAAAGTTTAAAATCACTATAATTTTTTTCAACAATTATTTTGTGTATGAAATTGTGTATTGGAAAATGCCGGCTACTTGAAATATGCTAGTCCTAAAAAAACAACACAGATCTTGGGTAAAATACTCATCAAATAAAGTACTGTTAATGTGTAGTTTCACGCGCTAGTTTCAGGTCTTTTATTTTTATAGCCTCTATCGGGTTTGATCCCAATTACCCGTATTTTTGTACTGAATATTTTTTTCTCTATCAGGCACACTTAAAATTATAGCATTATAATGTCAGTTTAATTTAAAAAAAGAAACTGAAAAATGCAAAGATATATAAGGAAAAAAGCGACTTCCGGCCCAATTTGCGATTCAACTTTTGAATCAAAGAAACGAAACGGACTAGTCGAACAGAGCTCATGGTATTGAACAATATGCATCTAATAAAAGTAACAAACTCGTCTAGCTTTATTTAATATCAATCTGCAGCATTTTATTCAGTGAGTTTCGATCTCACAGCTACACCAACAGGCCTAGCCGGTCCACTGTCGTGCTGCAGATCTCACGTTAGCCTCGCTAGACTGACCTCATGTTACCCCCGCTAGAGTGACCCATGCAACCACTGACCAGGTACAGAAGAGGGGCGTAACTTAAGGGTGACACTGCTGCTCCATGACATTCATAATCTCACCAAAATCATTTCACAACGCAAAGCCTAGGGAATAATTGCATTCGTTCACACAACAAAAACACACTATGAATTAATACATTGTAATATACTAAAATGCAATCATGACATTAAATAGGCTATAATACCTAGACATATATACATTTAATACATATAATAAATCTAGTGAGATAAATATTTCGCTCTTCATATTAGGAGACTGTATTTGTGCTGCTGAGAATGCAGGAAGACGCTTATGTGTCTGCCCGACATACCTTACTATTACAATACTTGTATAGGACCTGCGTTCCTCTGTGAGAAACAAAGATTTGCGACACCAGAAAATATCTGATGCTCAGAATGCGGGAAATCTCTTGGCGGATATTTTCTCTACATTCAGCCAGACACTCTATCTGAATGTAGGGTGATGATTTACTTCCAATACTAAAATAACGAAATTTTATTTTTCTGGAAAGGACCTCACAGGTAAAAGTTGGAGAGTCTGAAAAACTTCGGCCTAATCATTGTTTTTATTTCATCCATTTTATCTTCTATAATTTGCGCATTAATGTCCATTAGATATGTATTATATATACATATGTATTGGTCTAATCCCGAAATCCCGGTTTCCAAAATGCAAACATGTTCCAAAGATAAAAAGAAAAACAAAAACTCTTTAAAGTCTTTAATATTATCACCAAAGTTCAGACGGTAACACTATCCGTCTAGAGCGCTCCCACATTCTTTTCACACAATCGCTTTCGCAAACAATTTCAAATGTAGTGGCTACAAAAATGTGTGTGTGATTTGAATACACGTCCAATCTTCTCCATGTCTATTAGATACGTTATAAAAAAAATAATTATAACATTTTTTAACTGCATTTTGATGATATAAAAGAAAAACGAACAAAAAGTTAAAGTTTTCTTGACTCATATCTTGAGACTCCTAGACTCACAGCTTCACGCCATGAGGAGCGATCGAGAGCTAGTGCCTCCCAGCCGTGAATGTCGATAACGCATTCCTTAAAGGAGCTCTTGAGAGTGTCTTTGTAGCGCTTGTATTGGCCTCCCTAGGAGCGCTTTCCTGCACACAAATCCCCGTACAGAAGTCGTTTGGGAAGGCGATTGTCTGGCATGCGGGATACATGTCCCGCCCATCGAAGTTGGGACCTATTTACTGTCGCGTTGATACTATATATGTTGGACAGCTTTAAAATTTCTGTGTCATCAGGTAAAGAGTCTTTATATATATATATATATATATATATATATATATATATATATATATATATATATATATATATATATATATATATATATATATATATATATATATATATATATATATATATGTATGTATAATGTGGCTTATTCTCTTATTTATATATAATATATATATTTATATATATATATATATATATATATATATATATATATATATATATATATATGCAAAACTGTGGCATGCTAGATTTAGAGGAGGGGCGGTAGAGGTGATTCCCCACTCATCGTTGAACCTTTCCTCACACCTAAGGTTGGTGAGGGGGAGGGGGATTTCTAGCGGCCCCTGAAAGGGGAAAAGACAATATTAGTTTTGTTTGGAATGTTCGTCTGTCCGTCCCGTTTAGATCTCGTAAACTAGTAAAGATAGTGAAAAGCCATCATCATAATATTTTAGAGAATTCAAAGTTCTGATATAACGGCTACTTTTTTTTTTCTGAAAGCGAAAAATCTAATGTAATCACTTATGCTAGTACTTTTTCATAAAAATACACAACTTTTACAACTATTCACTATTAAAAGTAGTTTAGTAGGCGAAATGACTATTTACCAAGTTTTTTACGCATTTATGCAAACGGTTTTAGATTTTTTTTTACATTTGTATTGCTAAGTTAAGTAAGTTATGTTATAATAACTACTACATTTACACACACAAAAAAATACTTTTTTAAAGCGAAAAATCTATTTAGTATGTATATAAGTTGGACATAATTTAAAACAACAATTAATAAGTAGTTTTTCATATTATCGCGTGAACTGCAACAAACAGAATAAACCACAGAACACTTAACTAAAGGGGAAAAAAATATTATTAATTTTTAGCGGCCGCCGTAAGGGGAAAAAGCCGCTATTAGGTTTGTGCAAAATGTCCGTCTGTCACACTCAAATCTCGAAAATTAGAAGAGATATGAAAAATATTATTTCATCATTAAATGGGACCTGAAAAGTTTAGGTGCAACGGCTACTTTTTGTTTTCTAAAAGCAAACCGTTTAATTTATAAAATTAATTATGCAGCAATTTTTTCATAAAATTACACCAATTCTAAAACAATTACGTAAATGTAAGGGAGGCAATGTTACAATATGCTGACAATGGTAAACCATATGCATGTATTTTTAGTATCACCAAGTCAAATATATTTATAAAATATAAAATGGTCAACTAGCTGATAAAATTAAAAAAAACAATTATGTCTGTTAATAAAGGCTAATAATGCACTTTGTATGTAAATATCCCGCACATTTTTTAAAATGGACTTTTTATGCAGCGACTTTCGTGCAGTAGCGTAACGTCGCAACACGGTGTAATGCTAAACTAATTCCTTGAACTTTAAAAAAAAAAAAAGATTTGTTTTATTTTTTGTTTAGAGCCCCCATCAGAATAAAAGAACCTTATTTTTTGTGGGTTTTGTCTGTTAGTCGATCTGTTCGTCACGGTTAGATTAAAAACAAACACTAAATGCTATTGAAAATCTGATTTAATTTTTAATGTTCCTTCAGAAATATTGCAATAGTTTTAAGTATCTATAATAGATTGTTCCGGATGTTTTTAGAAAAACAATCAATGTCAACGTATATTTGTTTGCCTTTCTAACTTACATTAAATTTTATTTCCATGCTTAAACGTTGCAAAAAACACATGATCTTTAATATATTGTTCCGGTTTTTTTTTTTTGTAAATAGCATATAAATGCTAAATAAAAATCTCTATACTGACTTATATTTCTTTAACTATAAACTATAAAGGATATTGTTTTATAAAAAATAAATTATGTCAAATGACTGTTTGAAATCGCATAATTGACTAATATTAAACTTATATTCTTTGACACTACGTCACTATAGTTTATTTATCCATTTCAATGTGTTCCGAATTTTTAACTAAAAAAAATTATGTCAAATGACTTTATTTTTTTCAAAAATATCGACAATAGGTTGTTCAGGATTTTAAAATAAGAAAGTAATTTACTAGAAAAGATTATTGAAAATCACTATTTGGACTTATTTTACAATTAATTTTCTTGCCGAAACATAACATAAGTTGTTTAATCGGTAAAGAATATTATAATTAGACATTTTAGACTAGACCTTTAAAAACTAAATCAGCAACAGTCATCATGAAATTGCTCTGGCTATTTATCCGAATAATTACTAAATACACACTAGCTGAACACAGAACTAGCAGAAATAAATACATATCACTGTTAATATTAATAGCAATAGCAGGAGATGTAGAGTCAAATCCAGGGCCTAGATCTAAAGATAGATGCCACATCTGCAAAAAAGTATGCACCATGAAACATAAAGCCATTCAGTGTGACACCTGCGATGAATGGTACCATATGAATACACCTGTGTATTATGCCTTAGGCAACAAAGACGCATCATGGCACTGTGTACCGTGTGGGTTACCTCAGTTTACATCAGGACTGTTTGATTCCTTTGATGCGGACACTTCTAACTCATACAACATCCTAAACACCATCCCAAACCAAACTAACCAACCACTAGCCAGATCCACTCCTGTTAAACCTAAATCTACTAAAAGTAATACAACAGCCTCACTAAACAAACCTACTAAAGAAGTAATACCAAAATACCTTAAAACCTTACTATTAAATTTTCAAAGCATTAGGAACAAAACAGCAGACTTAGAAATTTTATTAGAATGTGAGAAACCAGACATAATTGCAGGAACAGAAACATGGCTACATCCTGAAATTTATAATGCAGAAATTTTCAATAGTAATTATGAAATTTTTAGAAAAGATAGGAATGATAATCATGGAGGAGTTCTTTTAGCAATAAAAAAACGCTCTTATAGCAGAAGAAATTACCTTACCTAACTCAAAAAATATAGAATCAACATTTTGTAAAATTAATACCACCTCAACATCTCTAATAATAGGCAGCATTTACAGACCACCAAATTCTTGTTTAGAATGCATGCAGGAACTATGTAATCAGATTCTTACATTTAAAGAGACAAATAAAAATGCAGTTTTTTTGGATTATGGGTGATTTAAACCTACCGGGGTACCTGATATAAATTGGAAAACACTAACCATAGATAAACACCAAAACCTTAAGGACATAAATGAGCTTTTCATAGAAACTTTACACAACCTAAGTTTAGATCAAATCATTAAAAAGCCAACTAGATTAAACAACACATTAGATCTTTTCTTAACCAACAGACCTGGATTAGAAGTTGATTATGATATTATCACTGGTCTATCAGACCATGAGATTATAAAAATACACAGTCAGATAAAAGCAGTAGCCAATACAAAACGCAAAAGAAAAATCTTACTCTGGAATAAATGTAACCTAACACAACTACACCAAGCTGCATTAAACTTTCAACAAACATTCTTATTAGAAAAAGACATTAACCAACCAGTCGATAACCTCTGGAATTTCATTAAAAACCATCTTAAAAGCATTATATAAAATCATATACCAACTAAATACACATCAAACAAAATAAATAAATGCAGGTTTAATAATACACTAAAGAAGCTTTGTAAACAGAAGGAAAACCAATATAGAAAATTTAAAGAAACTAAGGCAGAAAGAGTTTACAAAAAGTATTTAAAATTAAACACTTAACCCAAAAAGTAAGCAGACAGCTGCAGAGTGAATACATAAACAATGTAATATCTAAAGATAACAACAAAAACCTATGGTCATACATTAAGTCTAAGAAAATGGAAACAACAGGAATAGCGCAATTAAAAGATGAACATAACATAATACATAATGATAATGAAACTAAAACAAACATCCTAAACAAATACTTTGCATCAGCATTCTCAGCCCCAGGAGACAAAGACATATTACTTAAATTGAACAAAGTAGACAACATAGAAGAAAATGGAATTCAAAAACTATTAGCCAACACCAAACCAAATAAAGCGTCTGGACCTAATGGCAATCCAGCTAGATTACTCAAAGAACTAAGCAATGAGCTAGCCCCAGTGTTCAAAATACTCTTTCAGGCATCGCTTAACCAGGGCAGAGTACCAAAGGACTGGAAAGAAGCTAATGTCACCCCTCTATTTAAAAAAGGAGAAAAATCTGACCCAGGAAACTACAGACAAGTATCACTTACCAGCATCACATGTAAAATCCTAGAACACATAATATGTAGCAACATCATAAACCACTTAGACAAATTTACTCCTTACTCCATACAACATGGCTTTAGGAAATATAGATCATGTGAAACACAACTAATAGGACTAATTGATGATTTTTCAAAAGGTTTAGATAATAGTAAACAAATAGATGCTATCTTACTAGATTTTTCCAAAGTTCACCACCATAGTTTGCTTAAAAAGTTAAAATATTTTGGCATTAATGGTTCATTGCATCAGTGGATTAAAGATTTTCTGATAGGGAGAGAACAAACTGTAATAATAAATGGCTCTAAATCAACACCAATAACAGTAAACTCAGGCGTACCTCAAGGAACCGTCTTAGGTCCACTACTATTTTTAATTACATAAGGATTTACCAAATTGCATTAGTTCAGGAACAAAAGTCAGATTATTCGCAGACGATTGCATAATATATTAGGGGTGCACCGGATAGTCGCTCCGGATCCGGCTTCTGCAAAATATCCGGCATTTTTTACTATCCGGTGCTATTCGGCTCCGGTCGGATATCACTACCGGATAGTAAAAATACACCTATTTAATATGCATAAAGTGGACCTCGTTCCATTAATGTCTGTTGTAGAATGTATTAATGTTTAAATTAAAACAAAATAATTTGCTTAAAAATAGAGCCATTATGAATATGCACCAAACATCGTTT